CCTTTCTCAAACCCTGTAAAAGATCCGTTGCAATTTACAAGGGATTAAAATAAGTATTATATCCGTCCAGTGGAATTTACATTCGCTGCATATGGATACTCTAGATGTAGTATTAGTTCATAAATTTTATTGTTTGGTGATATGTATAAAGACAAGAATAGACAATAGAGGCAATTCTGTATCAAAATGTGTTAAAATTTAAAGGTTGTTAAAAATATGATTTTTTAAATAACTGTAATCTAGTTAAGAACAATAAACACTTGTTTTTATGTTGAGTACTTATTATAATGAAGGTAGTTCCTATAATATAATAGGTAAAATAAGCAACGAGATAAATAGAAACAATCTGTTAAAGAAAAATAACCAAAATGACAATTTATTAATAAAAAATCTTATGTAACAAGGTGTTTACGCTCGTATTTTTTAATTTTTAAAGTGCAACTACAAACTTCGTCACTTATCTATATTCAAATTGTTTTTAATTCGAAATTTACACCTTACCTGGTTGCTAAATTTATTGCAACTTAAAATTCAGAATACAAAATATTTAGTTTTAATAAAAGAAAATACTTCCCGATGAATTTTACCTTGCGATCAATTGACGCTGCGATAAATTTACGTACGATCTATTGTCGCTGCGATCAATTTACGTGCGATCAATTGTCGCTGCAATCAATTGTCGCCGCGATCAATTGTCGCGTGCGACCAATTGTGCTGCGAGGAGTTGCTTGCGATCAATTGTCGCGCGATCAATTGTTTGCGACCAGTTGTCGTAGAATCTTCCAAAGTATGTGTATAGAATAGGCAAGGCAGACAGTCGACGATGTATATACTGTGGCCAAGATGATGGTGCTGAGCACACTATGTTTGTATGTGTAAGATGGGCTGAAATAAGAAAGAGAGCTGAGCAGAAAATAAAGAGGAAACTTCAGCCTGAAAACATGGTTAACTGTATGCTAAGATCTATGGGATGCTGTCAATGAATGGATAGAGAAAATTATGAATAAAAAAGAGTAGGAAGAACAACAGAGATAAAACGGGAGGTGAATTGAACGAAACCATTCGGATGAAGAAATGCTAGCGCGGTGCCGTCCGGATGGAGGGAAAGGTGGGGTATTAGTGGGTATAGGGTCTTGGATGGACTCAGAGTCCTACACTCTCTCTCAAGGGAAGAATCATGCGAGAGAGATGCGTAAAGCACTTCCCCACCCAAAAAAAGTAATAAAAAGGTCAGGTCAGATCAGGACAGGTCAGGTCAGGTCAGGTCAGGTCAAGTCAGGTCAGGTCAGGTCAGGCCAGATCATGCTTGATGTGCTTGGGAACGCATTGGAACACTCGGTATGTCACTGTCTGGAAACACACATATAACAAAAACGAGAACTGGCTGAGACCCAAAGTGGCTTCAGAAAAAGGGGATTGACTTTCAGAGAGGTAGAAAAAACGATGATCATAGTGAAACACGCCGGTAAAGGGAAACCAGGCACACAAGAAGATTATTTACAGCGGTATTTTTAGGTATCCAAAATGCTTTTAATTCCAAGCTCCGTGGAAGAAGATCATGGAAGCCCAACGCTAGAAAAATGTTGATCCACAGATTAGACGAATGATCCAAAGTTATCTGCATGAAAGAGAAATAATACCGGGGGAAGGGGATATAATAATAGAAACAGGAGTGCTAATGCCTGGGGTACCACAAGGATTAGTCCTGGGCTCAGCACTTTGAAACATACTGTATGATGAACTACTTAACACGAATCACCCAACCGGAATAACTGGGGAAAGTCTGGAGAAAAAAATAAACATATTGATAGCAAAAAAGAAAACTAAAGTCATTATTACAGTTGCTGCGAACGAAAGATGTAGAATGGTGGAACTCCAGGTGGAAGACATGTAGATAGTTCCAGAACGTCGAACCAAATATGTGGGTCTTAAGCTAGACACAGGCGATTATTTAAGCAAACATATAGAGGAAGCTACAGAAAACAGAGAATTGAGTCATACTTTAGTGAGATTGATGGCAAAGGTAAGAGAACCAGCGACAGGAAAAAGGAAATTCCTGGGTTCAATGCACGCGCATACCGGACGGTGTCCAATAAGGATGTAATCGCTGGACTGATCCCAAGGAAAACCAGAAATGTGCAAGAAAAAGAAAAACGGAGAAAGAAATAAATGCGGGAACTATGCCGAAGTGGCAAAATTTCTGGAATAATACAACTAAAGCATCTTGTACAAGAAAACTGATCCCTGACGTTAGGAAATACCTCACCCAAATGATAACAGCTCATGGAGGTTTCAAAACATACTTGAAAAAATTTAAAATAAAGGAAACCGGAGAGTCTAAAAAATACGATATTCCAATGTACGAGATAGGAGGGAGCAAAATTGAAGATAGCAAGAAATCTTCACCCCAAGAACATGGTGCAGATCATGATGGAAAGCTAAATAAAAACGGTGAAGAAATACACGAAATGACAAGGGAAAAGCAGGTTTCCATTCTCCCGACAAAATAGTCAGATCGGTGAGGTCAGGTCAGATCAAGTCAGGTCACACCAAGTCAGGTTAGGTGTAATTGGATATTTGGAAGTGGCTGGGAGACGATGTCATTAGTTGTAGAAATAAATGGTGGTCCTGAGAAGGACTGATTTCTGGTAATGTTTCATGGTGATCGTCTTCTTATTCTGACGGACGTTTGGTCCTTGTCACAACAATTCCACATTGTTTATTAGAACAAAAATAAGAGCAACTTAGAATGCTACTGCCTTTTTGCAATAAATGTCGAAAATGTTGTCCTTTGCATCTTTGAACGGATAGTTAAAAAACTTCGGGAGTTCTACACACTATAGTGGCTGCCATTTCCACTCGTTGTTGAAGCTCTTCGGTAGTTTCTGGACAATGCTGATTTCCGTAAACTAACTATTTCATCCAACCCCACAGACAAAAATCACACGGATTGAGATCGGGTGAAAGCGGAGGCCAAGCTAGTGGGCCATTTCTACCGACCCACTGGTTAGTGGACAAATACCACATGCGAACTCGTTCACCTAGAGGCACTTCCACATCCAGCTGCTTTTTCAACACATTGTTTTAAAACTCGAGGTACTGTGCCACGTTTAATCTGTTTGGTAAAATATAATGTCAAACTAAGCGGATTTTCATCGGACCAAATGTGAGTGTTATGGCTGTTGAAAACTGCATTGCGAGCAAATCCCGCTTCATCCGTAAATAGAATGCAATATAAACAGTTAGGGCGTTCACGACATTGCTGTAACAACCTTTAGTAGTAAATTAGACGACGTGGAAAATCAGCGGGGTCCAAAGCTTGCACACCTTGAACGTGGTATGGATATAAGCCTTGTTCTTTTAATGTACGATGCACCACAAACTGTGAAACTCCAAGTTCTTTGACGCGTTCCAAAATTTGTTCTTCAGCTTGTAGTATTTTTTCAGTCACGGACCAACCTGAATTGGAAAGAGTCACCATTATCAAATACGTTAACCGAACACACGGCGACAACCAACTGATACATGACTCGCCGTTATCTTGTTTTTACACGTTGCTTATCAGTACGTGCTTTTTTGGTTCTTAATCCTAGTCGTTCTGAGCCAGTCATGTAATTGTACTTACAGTAGGTCAAGAAACACAATCTTATTTTAATAGAGGCAAGTTGGTTGGCCGGCTTCACGAGTAGAGTACACCACAGGCTTCAATTTTATACGGCAATGTTCCATTATTATTCAGCCAAATACCTCTAAAGAGCTCATAACAAGGGTAATATAAAACCAATCGAGGGGGTGCACCTTTAGCCGGAATTATAAAGCATAAAGATGCACCCCTGCGTCGGAATTATAATACCCCTATTATAGCCTGGCGCCCTAGGTTTTTTGTGTGGGTAGGTTGCTCAAAAGAGCATCAGCCTCGGAACGATTTGAATTTTACATTATACCTCGACACCTGAGCGCCATAACCGGTTATTGCCACAAGTTGGCCCGAAACCCGAGCAACTTATTCCTTGGTCTCTATTTCCTCTAGTTATTCCTATCTAAAATGTGCAACATGTTATGGGTCCACACTTATGGCTTACATCCATATTTTTAAATTTGTTACTACAGTAAGTTTAAAAGAAGTGATGAATATACTAAATAATTTTGTCGTTTAAATCAAAAATTCTGTACTGTTGTTAGTATTAAACTGGACCCGGAAGGTCGTACATAAAGTGGGCTTTAAAAATTTGTGAGTATTGCACTACGTTATGGTGATTGCTTACCATAAATGTCAATCTAGTGTTTTAAACATTATTGATGTGTCAATGTGTGCTGCCTGATAGATAGGCAACTAGTAATTCAGCTCGAATTTGAGATTTTTTATCTCAATAGAGCGACATATTTTTATTAAAAATGCAGTTACAGATCTTCCAAAATCGACCCAAGGTGCGTTTTTTTTTTAATAATATTTTTGACTTACTTAGCGAACTTAAATCTGCAATTTCCATATCAAAAATTGTCTGTATCTGCTCTAATTTTCTTTCCATGAAAGTTAAAAAATCGCATGCTGACGGCGAACTCAAAAGCATCATTTTTTAATGTAGGCGTAAATATTTCATATTCTCCCAACGCTTCGGTCGCGGATGCACCGTAGGCCCTGATGGGATGGAAATCCGCTTGACCTGTGAGTGTTTTTCCGGTAAATAAAGGATAAAGTGAGATTATTGTTTGAAACTGGTTGCTATCAAGCAATGTTCAATCAATGTCGAGCATTTGTCCACAGCGGGTTAATCCGCACGCCACGGGGAGGGTCAGCATTGTGTATTCAATGTGCCGCCTGCATTAGACCATTCCAGTTCGCAACCTTCGCCTTAATCTCGTTTCCCTTTTTATTATACCATATAAAACCTTTATATGAAAGCAATAGCCGGCTTTTTTTCTTCCGAACTCATATACGTGGAACTCAGGTATTATACTTATTGTCCTGCTTAACAGTTATAGTTATGATAACGACTTACCGTGATTAAATTCTCCAACAACTGATATGCCGTTCGACTCCGTGTTCCTCACGTGCCTCCCTGCAACAACAAAACCGAATCAGAATTGCCCGGATCCCATTCGCAAACACAGAAATATTTTCGAGCGATATGGTCGTAAAACGCGGCAAAAAAGGGTTTTTCGCCGGACCGCGGTTGAAGAAAAACTATTTTCCGAAGGATGTCCGCCGAACTCTAAACTAATATTAACATGGAAGTCGGGACTTCTTATGTCGCTTCTCTTGCGCAAGAGTTAAACTTGCCGAAGTAGGCGCTTTAAGTTAATTCCTCTTGAGTTTGCTACTAAAAATAAATTGCCTTGTAAACAGTTACAACGCCGGGAATTATCTCAGTAGCCCCCATTTCATTTTAAATAAATGCTTTTTATGTAGGTGCTACATTCTAAGTATAAGTTGAATGCCGCCATAGTATTCAAATCATGAACACAAACTTTTACGACATACGTTTCACTCAGTTTGAAGCTCAATTTTATGCGCTTATTAAAATTTCTCTTAGTACTAACAACGTGTATTTCCCGGAATTAACATTAAACGCTTATTTAAACTCCTTCAAAAAATTCACAACCAAATTTAGCCCAACTTTTAAAGACTTCAGACTTTTAGAAATAAAATCTCGGGCTTATCACGACATGACTATAAATGAACTTAGAACGAACGGTACGTTCATTGCTTTTACGGTAGTTTACCATTATAATTTTAAAAACGCCGGTGTAAAACTTTAATTTGGAGGAATTATGTACGGCGAAACGTTACTAAAACTGCAGTGCTACTTTGCATTTAAGGTAGGAAAATTATATCAGGCGTCCGCATTCTGCATTGGTGAAACATAAATTTTTACAAATTTTAAAAAGTTCACTGTTTTATTACTCTGTACATGCTAAAAATAAATAAAAACGAATAAAATAATTAACTGTGTCAACTAATTGTTAAACAAGCCGTTTGATGATATGTCTAGTATTAAAATTTGAATAATTGATTTTTAAATGTTCAGCCACGCAAAGCAAAATATTGACAACGAATATTTGAAAAGGTTACTTCTATTAAAATGTATATAGAGTTAATACTAATTGACAAATCGTTGTTACAATAGGAATATTTTCGGAGTTGCAGTGGGATGAACGAATTCACCAGAGGGCAAAATTGGTGAATAAATCCAGAAATCCTATTATGTTAAATATAAGCGTGCGCTGTAACGAGCAACATAAATTTAAACAAAGTTTAACAGTAGACAAAATCATCTCTGGTTTATTTCGAACGAACAATAAAATATACGTCCAACGCTAGCCCTATGATTCGAAAAACATTTTAGATTACAGTAACATAATTTCCTATTTAAGAAAAAAAAACAGAAGAACTAGAATAGTTTATAGTTTTGACTAAGTTGAAAAAGTCGAGAAATATATTGCAGAGATTAGAAACGAAATTGAAGGTGAAGAATTAAAGCAATGAAATATGGACTTGATTAATTTAGTTCCTGGTTTTTATCTTATCAACTTACTTATAGCAGTAATAATTATAGTAGTAATTTTCTAATGTTTTGAAAAGTCGGCATTTTGAAATTGATGCGGTTATTATTATATAAATAGAAACATCTAGCAAACAATTTCCTCAAAGAAGTTTATAAGCGAGGTACACTTTAAGGTATTCATTCTGTCTACAATTTCGCATTATATTTCAACGAAATTAAATAAAACATTTCAAGCAAATTTTTCTTTATACAATATTATGGAACTTTTAATATTTTAACAATTAAACCTAAAAAGGTTGCGATATAAAATGAAAATGTCAGTGGTAATTGAATTTTTTTAAATAAAATAATAAATTCGTAAATTATAAAATACGTACTTAATTTCTTTATAAAATTTAAACGAGAAAATACCCGCTCTCTTTTTTTAGTCGCATTTTTTGGAGCTCTTGCGCCTTTTTATTGACCGTTATTTCACCTTTTTGTTGCATTTTTTGTGTATTTTTGGTGTCTCTTTTTCGCTGATTTTTTTGTCCCTTTATTTTGTCTGTTTTTGTTTACTTTTTTCGCCTAAGCTTCGCACAGAAGGCTACTTTTATGTTTTCTTAATGTTTCATGATCCCTGGAGTACGAAATATTAAATAAATCTGTCTGCCGTCTGCCCTCTGTCGTCTGTGTCGATTTTTATTAGACTCATAATCTCCGAAACTACGAACCGCTTGTTGTCAAATTTTATTATGTCGATTAGGAATATTGTACTCGTATATACGGTTTTCCCCATTTTCATCAATAGACGTCAGTTATTATAGCTACGACCTGAAATTCGTTCGGGTTATAAGTTGTTCTTGAATTGCACTGACTACTCTGGCCTAGTTACGTTATTTGATATTAGAGTACTTATATTAGGTTCTTGTTGCGCTGAAACTTTTGTACCTTGACCTATGGCTAATCTAGTCAGATCTGTAAACAAAATTTCAAATAATTTTGATTTTTTTAATGTAAGATTATCCTTTTTAAACAGCTACCCGAAAAATCTTTAAGTTGTATGAATTACTAACTTTTAGTTTTTATCCATTTCTTTTTTTTGTAATTATTTTCGCACATGTTTAGTTCTTATTTTCGATATATCGTGTTATGGATCTTGTATCTTTTTGGTCATTAAATACCGATTATTATTATTTTCTTCAAAATTTGAGAATACAGTAATGTTGCACACGGCTGTATTTAATAATAATAGAATAACCTGTTTTGAGTCGAAGTTAATATACTTATTATATACTTTTTATCATTGGTTATATGCTTTAAATATCTTTGACATTGTCGGTACCTTGCGGACTGCGCTCTCACTGACGCAGGAGCTGCCAGGATGTTATTTACTCCACTGCACAGCATAAGCATATTTCTTTACATATATTTTGAAACTCAACAAATTCGATATTTTAATTTATAACGTTTGTTGTAAGTAAAATTCACCAAAAAGTTTTTTATTTGATCCATTTTTGACGCCTTTTTTGTTCCCCCTTCTTTGTACTGTTTTCTTCGCTTTTTGTCGTTTTTCTTGTCCTTGCTAGATGAAATATGAACGAAATGTAGGAAGGGTGGGCGGGCGGGGCTAAACTTAAATATTTCATTTCTACTATACATAAAAACTATTGTTACGTTGAACGGGCGAATAAAATCGGCGTGTGTTAAACTCAACAAGTTATTTCTTACAAACACGACTAACTGCTACAACCATTATGTACAAAAATAATTCCGGCACTTCTTGTCTTTATTTTCTCGACACTCGCTGACTGAATTCGATTGAATAATGAAAAACTCCCGACGTTGGCCTCTATTTAAAAACGTACTTTCTTCTAGATGTCGGGCATTCGGGATCTTTCGGGATTGCCGATGTCGTTCGCGAATACCGCTTCCAGGCTTTTCTGTGGCGGTCCGCCGCTTCGAGACTTTCCTGGACGCCGAAATCGAGATCGATGACTCACCACCCATCATGGGTTTATTTTGTAACAATATCAATGACGACACAACATAATCTACACAAAGAGAGGCTTACACTGACTCACAAAATTTTTGACGTCACATCGCGATGATTCAAAATTGATTGAAAGCCACAAATAAATTAAGATGGACACAAAAATCTGACCAAGAAGGAAATAGTTTGTTTGGTAGGCACCGACCAGTTTCAACCACCACCCATCAACCCTTGATACCTGAGAAGTTTTCCGGACAAGATAGGTTATAAATGCAATCTGACTTATTGACCTATTTTGGTCTGTATTCCTACTGCGTAGGATAGAAAATGGTCCTTGGAGCCGGATTTAGTACTTCGACTAGTTAAAATAACACTTTTGGTATACTAATAATATATTCTTGATTAATATTTAAGACCACCATCGGATGAATTTCACCAATCTTATTAGTCTACTTAATCAAATAAATGTGTTGAAAAACAATATTTAATTGCGGGTGATTTGAATGTTAATTTTCTTTGTGAAAACAGTTTATCGGTTTAAGTTTGTGATTTTATGGTTGATCAAGATCATCACGGAAACTGTGATACTGAACAGTCAATTTTTTTAAAGCAATTTTAACATCTAGAACTCGTATGATTGAGGAAAACCTAGAAAATCTAGTAATTCCGACGTTGTATGCAATTGCCGTCCAATAGCGATGGCGATCGGACGGCAATGAGGATCACTTCCGTGATGCCAAAGCCTGCTAATAACCCTAGTATTTATCGACCCAAAGTATTAGTACAGGGTTTTCCAAAAATATAAAAAAAAATAATTTGCAACCAATTAAGTTCTATTTTGGGGGTTAACAATTTAATTTCTTCAGTTCAATATGGATTCAGAAAAGGGCAGTCCACTACTGACACAATACTGACATTAATTGATACAATCATTAGGTGTTTGGAAAAGGATGAATTGGGCACAAGGTTGTTTTAAGATTTAACGAAGGCTTTCGACTGCGTCCCGTATAAAACACCAATTGTGAAACTATATAAGGGTAATATACAACCCACCTGTTGCCAATTATTTTAAGAGAAAGGTCTGCAAATTCTACCAGCCTCCCCATCACATACGATCTACCCCAGGGCTCAGTATTGGGCTCCTTACTGCTTTTCCTCTACAATGAATTTCCCAGATATTTGCAGACTCGCTCATTAGTCATTACTTTTAGACGATGACACAACAATTTTAACAGTAGATAAGGACATAAATTAGAAATAAATACCTAAAGGTACGTGTCCACTTGAGAGGGCGCTTTCAAAAAATAACTCCAAAATCAGCCCGTAAAGCCATAGTCGGCCCTGCCCTCAACTGGGTAAGCGTATCGTTTTTACCTGGTTTCTCCGAGTTTGTGAGCGACTCTCACAATACGAACGCATTTCGAAGTGCGACAGTGATCTCCGATAAGTCTGTTTTACGTGTATTTTTTTCGTAATAACTGAAGTCATTGCAATAATAGACCTTTGAAATTTGAAATGACAACTTAAGATTAAAGATAGTATAAAATCAAAATCAGAACTCTCGTGAGAGTTGCTCTCCAGT